CCTATATGGCACTTACTGGGCTTTAGGGTCAGTCCGGACTCCCTAATCCGGTCTATTACGGCTCCTATGTGGGTCAGGTGTTCGGGCCAGGAGCTGCTAAAATGTCTATACCATCCAAGTAGGTGTGTATCAGTGTGTATTAGGGATCCTTAGGACAGGTGTCAATACATATCTGCCAAGTGACCCGATGTTGGGGTAACATTCCCTATTCTGCTCTGTGTCAGTGTGTATCAGGGATCCTTAGGACAGGTGTCAATCCATATCTGCCAAGTGACCCGATGTTGGGGTAACATTCCCTATTCTGCTCTGTGTCGGTGTGTATCAGGGATCCTTAGGACAGGTGTCAATCCATATCTGCCTAGTGACCCTATGTAGGGGGAAAAGTCTCTGCTCTGTGTCAGTGTGTATCATGGTCTCTGAGGACATGTGTCAATCCATATCTGCCAAGTGTCCCTATGTAGGGGGAACAGTCCCTATTCTGCTCTGTGTCAGTGTGTATCAGGGATCCTTAGGACAGGTGTCAATCCATATCTGCCAAGTGACCCTGATGTAGGGGGAACAGTCCCTATTCTGCTCTGTGTCAGTGTGTATCAGGGATCCTTAGGACAGGTGTCAATCCATATCTGCCAAGTGACCCTATGTAGGGGGACCAGTCTCTATTCTGCTCTGTGTCCGTGTGCATCAGGGGCTCTGAGGACAGGTGTCAATCCATATGTCAAGGTGTCAATATGTCATATGTCAGGTGTCAATCCATATTCATTGTGATTTAGGAATGTTAGGTGATTTCTGCCCTTTATGGATTAAAACCAGACTCTGTATCAACTGTGTAATTTTCCATGGGAGTTTTGCCATGGATCCCCCTCCGGCATGCCACAGTCCAGGTGTTAGTCCCCTTGAAACAACTTTTCCATCCCTATTGTGGCCAGAAAGAGTCCCTGTGTGTTTTAAAATTCGCCTCCCCATTGAAGTCAATGGAGTTTCGGGCGGTTCGCCAGTTCGCGAACATTTGCGGAAGTTCGCGTTCGCCGTTTCGGGTTCGCGACATCACTACTACTAAACCACTTAAAATTACCCCTGACCCGGGTTCCCCGCAATCTGTAAGGATATGACTCCTTTAATATATATCAATCTCTACGTATTACCCTCACTACAACTGATACTTCTATATAATGTGCATGGATTCCCTGACATATATTGACCCTTTTGGGTATTACTTCACTATACCTAATCTGGATATTATATGAACATTCTCCACAGCGACGGCATTTATTCTGTACAAAGCCAATGACACTTAAACAGGTCTCTGGCAATTCAGAGACTACTATTCTTCTAAGTCACAAGTCTGCTGTTCAAGTCGTTTTTTATACTAATTCATGTACACCTTTGAAGAGTCATTAATATTCTGGAAGTGTCAGAATTCATTAATGCTCTTATTTTTAGTACAATTATATTATCACCATTATCAATCGTTCATCATGAACCAGTGAGGGGTTAAGATATATATACTTCTCTAACTAATAGATACATCAAGGATATCTAAACTGATAATTTTTAGATTACATCAACGAACTAAATGGAATTACTTTTCCATCCTGTTCACCATCGTAACAATACTTTAGACTCTTTTACCCCTCTGAGCCACCGTACCTTCCAGCTGAGCCTGACGTCATTACCCTTATGGATGGTCCAATCAGGACCACGGGCGGGCTATTTAAACTTGCTTCACTGGGGAGTCAGTTCCCCCTGATGAGCCGCAGTTCCGGCAAAACGCGCGTCAGGGATCCATACACATTGCCCTCTCCTGTGTTACCCTGACACTTGATGTACATTTCATCTAGACGCCTGACTCCTAGTCCGGTAATCGGCATCCCGGTTGCCACAGGAACGGCATGCAGACCGTATTTCTAGTTGAGTTAGCCAGTTAGATTGCTATTTAGCCATAGACAGGTGCCCTCAAAGGCACAGACTAGTGTACCTCTATCTTGAACTCCTGGTATCACCAGGCACTTTGACCGATCATTTAGCAGAGTCAGTCAGCTAGATCTTTCGTACTGATAGATGCCGTCGAAGGCACAGACTAGTCTTTTTCTCTCTGGCACTCTATCACCATTACTAATGATAATCACTTATCTATTCAGTTGTGTTATGTATCTGGCTCTTTTGGAGACAGCTATTTTACTGCTAATAACAGCTAGACGTTGCTGTTAGATTTGATTTACATAACCTCTACTATACTTTGAGCCAGTCATTACCAATGGTACTTTACTTTCATGCTAGTACATCCCATTTTAGGGTACTAGCAACTAGGCAGGCATCCTTTGTTATACTATTCTTTCTCACTATATGACTTATGAGTGATTTAGATTACAGGGATCTACATATTTATAGTTGGGATATTCCTCTGAGACAGGCCTGGACTGGCCATCGGGCACACCGGGCAAATGCCGGTGGGCCGCGGTGGCCATGGGCCGAGGCCGGCAGGGGAGGTCCCAGGATCTCCCCTGCCGGTCTATGCAGGGCCGGCGCTATCCGAGCGCTGGCCTCGCTGTCTTCCATGGAGGGCTGGTGGGGAGATCAAAGATCTCCGTCACCGGCCCATTTAAACAGACCTGCGGCTGGGGAGGGAGAGGACCCGGCGGAGCTCTATCTTGCAGCTCCGCCGGGTTCCTCTCGCGAGATCCGGCGCGTTGCCATGGCAACGACCGGATCTCGCGAGAGTGAACTCTAGCCCGCAGGCTAGAGTTCACTCACCACTGGACCACCAGGGATGATGTGAGTGTGCCGGTCCCCTCCTCCCAGCTACCACGTGCCTGTCCCCCCCTCCCAGGCTAAAGGTAAGAGGGAGGGGGGGATTTAATGCCTACTTAGTTTTTTTTTTATTTCTTTATTTACCCACCCCTTAGTTTTTTATTTACCCCCCAACACACATTTATACACAGCACTCTCACACTCATCATACTCTGCACTCTCACACACATCATACACAGCACTCTCATACACAGCACTCTCACACTCATCACACTCTGCACTCTCACACACATCATACACAGCACTCTCATACACAGCACTCTCACACTCTGCACTCTCACACACATCATACACAGCACTCTCACAAACATCACACTCTGCACTCTCACACACATCATACACAGCACTCTCATACACAGCACTCTCACACTCATCACACTCTGCACTCTCACACACATCATACACAGCACTCTCACACACAGCACTCTCACACTCTGCACTCTCACACACATCATACACAGCACTCTCACACTATGCACTCTCACACACATCATACACAGCACTCTCACACTATGCACTCTCACACACATCATACACAGCACTCTCACACTCAGCACTCTCACACACATCACACTCTGCACTCTCACACACATCATACACAGCACCCACACACACAGCACCCTCACACAAATCAATCACATACAGCACCCACACATACAGCACCCTCACACACCCAGCACCCTCACACAGCACCCACACCTCACACACAGGATCCATCACACACACATACTGCACCCCTCACATACACACACAACCCCCCGATACACTGCATCACACACATACACAATACTTCCAAACATATTTATATAATATATATATACACATATAAATATACACACAGCACCCCGCACACACACACAGCACCCCTAAACACACACACACACACAGCACCCCTAAACACATTTCATTCCAGACACACACTAGATCCTCTACCCAACTCTGGATCATCTACACACATACACACACTAGATCCCTATATACACTCTGAATCCATTATATACGCACGCTCACTAGATCTCCTATACATATTCTGGGTCCGTCAAACACACACACACTCTGGATCCCCTATATGCACACTAGATTCCTTGTAAGCAAACACATACTACATTCCCTGAACACACACTCTCTACAAACACTACATCACCTACACACACACTATAGCCTGTATACACACACTTGCTACATCCCCTAAACACACATTCTCTAAAGCCCCTAGCCACATATGCATTACATTACACCACAAACACAACACAACTAAAACCGACCTTATTACACAATACCACACCACGACCAGCTCACTCTGCACACACGCAATACCCCAAGCTTGCTCCAAACACATGCACAATACTCTTTCCTGGCCCTTTTGTCTCCTGGTATCCATTTATAGAGACACCAGAGACAAGTTGCAAGGAAACACAGTGCAAGCATGTTATTAAATTTGCTTGCACTGTGCAGAACAAATACAGGGCTTTTTTCTCATGCTAGAGCTCTTCAGCAGAGCTCTGCGCATGGTGTGCCCTGGAAGAGCATTGAACCAACATGCTCACTTTGAGAGGGAGCGTGTTTGTCATGAGTGATGACAAAACACACCCTCTCTGCCCCGCCCCCTTCTTAGTGGGCCGCTGTGATAAAAAAATGCCCGGGCTGAATTTTTTTCCCAGTCCGGCCCTGCTCTGAGACATTTATATACTCTACTTTGCTGCCTAATTTACTATAGTTTGTCTTGGTAGTGATCCAGATAGCTGTTCTTATTCTATTGGTATCATATATTTGGACGATTAGATTACAGTGCTGTGCATAGTTTTTATACACAACATTCATTGCCGAGTGGAGTCTCTAACTAGATTTTGTCAAACTAGATAGACACATTTGTATCAGTCTCTTGACACATACTTTGTATAATATTTAAGTTAAATTCCACTGGGCTCTATCTATTTTGTCACTGTGTATCCTTTTGTTTTGTTTTGTGCTTAGGGCACCTAACAGCTACTTATCTGGGGTGTATTTTTCAACCCTGGAGTTTCGTTCCTACTCAGACTCTGTCCGTCAGTTTATCTGTTTTCACTCCCGCTCCCATTGTATAGTACCCACACCTTCGTTGTGACCATATTTGTGGTGTGTGTGGTAAGTGTGTGGTAAGTGTGCAAGTGTTTTTTAGTTTTATAATAAAGAACTTTATTTACTTTTTACCTCTTATTTAATTGGGACAGATTCCGTCTCCATTCTTTTGCTGCTACCTTTAACTATAAACTATGTTTCTCTTGTCAGAGAATCTATACTTCTAGGAATTTTTGCTGTTTTTTTTAGTGTGAAGACTTTCTACGGTCGTTATAATAAGGAACTTCCAGTTCATCAGTTATTGGTTTGCATGGTTGACCCAGTACTGGACCTTCATCTTTGTCTATTGTCCATCAGGTTGCACCGTTTACATGGTTGGTCAATGCCAGTTTCGGCTACAGCGAGAAAGAGGAGTTAGGAGACGTTTGAGGACACTATATGACGTTGTACACTCTGATTGGTTGACGTTTTTACATCTTTACATTACTGCTTGGAGGTTCAGTAAAGAAAGATTTAGCAAATATTTGACTCCTGTTAATAATAAAATGTAGATTATTCTTTCACTAAAGCTAGAATAATCCCTGAAATTTTAATATATATATATATATATTTTCTTACTTGCAATGAATTAAATATTATTGTATTACAAACTTAATACCCTTTGTGTGATTAAAATGTGCTGAGTTGATTCAATTATGAATGCAGAATAATTTTGTTCTTAGTATACTCTAAGGCAGGGTTCTATTAATATGTTTTGTTGGATGTAAATCTGCTGTTTTATGAATAGAATAATAATTACACTGATATTAATGGGATTTCTCTTGTCAAATGCATTTGTTTTATCACACGTACGCTAGTGTTAAACATGTAAAAAAGGAGCCCAGAGAGCTGTTTTATGGGAATAGCTTTATCCCACTCCCCAGTCTCTTTTTGTACGTCTTACTAAATTATTATACATTTTTATATTAGACTAGCTTGAAGCTGGTGGATCAAAAGAAAAGCCCATAAATGCTTTAAAATATGGGAATGTTATATGCACAAGGGCTAGATATCTTAATCAAAAATCAGAACTACCATATTCTGGTATAAGCTTAGAGACCTGCAAATAAATTCCATAATCCACACTTTTTTGCCTTCTTTTTGTATGTTCCTTTGACTGCTATTGGTTGTCATTGTGCTAAGAAATATTTTATAACTAAAATGTTTGATCTAATTTATGTTTTCATTTTGAAATGCTGCTATGTTTATAGAAAAAAGGGTTAAACATAGCTGGACCAGGCATCCAGACCACCTCATTAAGCTGAAGTGGTCTGGGTGCCTATAGTGGTCCTTTAATCTGTATTATATATACATTTTGGTCACTAATTCCTGCAAAATGCATGTTTCGGCTGTGCCCTCGAGTTCTTGTTGTCCTTAGTCATTCATAAAGCATATAGTGCTACTGAAGAGAGTTGCTAGGTTCCAAAACATGTGGGACTTCAACCCAAAGGCAAACTTAATAACCACTATACTAACAGAGAGGCGGTGATTTCTCATGACATTTCTCTGCCATTTTATGTCATATCCATAAGCACAGTGTGCCACTGATGCACTCCAGGATCTCAGTGAAGTTATTGCCAGAAACAAGCACATACCATACAGATATTCAGTGTCATCCCGTCACATTACCTAACAGAGGTTGTGCAGAAAGGTTTTTTTCCACAACAATCCCTGCTGAAAGTTACCTGGGGGACACCACCCCTCTCATGGTGGTGAGAATAGTGCATGGTTTAGCCATTACACTGCTAACCTTTATTTATTTGGTTTTTTTTGTATTTTTGCAGTGCATAAGATAGGTACAAACGGGCTCGAAGTACCCCAACGGCAATCCTCTAGCCTCTTATCAAGCTTTACAATAGGGGTATGAGATTGGACTTGCACAATTTTATATCACAGTATTTAACAGTTGATTAACAAAGTTGCCTAAGACATCAATCCCTACTTAGCAGTTGTGGAGTAACTGGCCTAAATATAATAGAAATAACGGAGAAATAACAAAGTAGGAACTTGTCTAGTTGGGTCTATCTTGTTAATAATCGAAAGACAGGCGATGTGCCAGTATACATAGGTGAGCTGCATTGCTAGGAGACATGTTAAGTCAAGGAAGATATGAGTAGACATGGTGGGCTGCATACATGCTAAATATGGTTAACGAAATCACAGTAAAGAAAGTAAAAGTAAAAATGGCGATGGGACCTGCAAATTCAACTAAATACACAGTGCTCGTAAGGGTGCTAGTAACCATTGTCTCTGCTCATTACTAGGGATTGTGGTTCCCTGGGAGCTAATGTATTGCATAGTGGGGCATGTGTTGGGCACCTCTTAACCGGGGGATCTGTCGAAATGTGACGACTAGTTTAGCCCACACCTATTGAATTATGTGCTGTGTCTTGGTGGTTACGGTCCCCTGGGCCTAGTCTAGCTGCAATCCCCCTACCCTCATGCAACATACAGTCCATGGTGTTTGTAGTAGTCAGGCTCTGTGTGGGCGTGCAAAGTTCGCTGGGGAAGGTGGTAAGGCAGTCTCCGTGGGTGGCATTCCTCCAGCCCTGGACATGGGTACAGGTGATCTGGGAGTCCCAGGCCTTCCCTGGACGGGAAGTGCGTGAGGTTCCGGCGGTCTTTCTGTTTCATGGGCTGTGTTTCTTGTTGGCCCTCTGCCCAGGAGGGCCTACTGTGGGTGACTTAGGCATGTGCTGGTCGGTGGTGCCCACAGGGTGCCCTCCCCGCTCCGTCCTCCAATCCTTCCATGCTGTCTCCGCAGGTAGGGAGGTGGGGATTGCCATGCGCTCCTGCAGCCTGGCCCAGAATATTTCAAAGAGTGCCTCTATTGAGGACGGTGTACAGTCTCTGTGGTCAGGAGGATTGGTGTGGTGCTGTGGCAGGTTCCGGGTCTCAGGGCCATGTGCGTCCGCCGTCTTGGTTTTTGTAGAGTCGTCTCTCAGAGTTGTATAGCGCTCTGTGCCCAGAGGGACTCAGGGTTGCAGGCCTGCATGGGAGGCGGCCACCATTTTAGCTGGTTCAGTGTCGAGGTTGAAAGTAATGACCCATTCTAAAGCGTAAAGTTAAATGTTTTCAGCCTTTTTACTTTTTTATATAATCTTGTTTGTGCATGTCTTTTCTTTTTATTATAATTTTCTCTCTTATCACATGCATGTCTATTGTGACACAACTTCGTTTCCTGGGCAAATGCCCCATTATTTCCTGTATCTCGCCCATTTAATTTGAAGACTGCAATTTGACGGTACAGACTGAGAATCAGCAGCTATTCTACCGGATTTCCTTCATCTTAGTTACTACATTATTAATTACTATAACAATGTTACTATTTGTACCTGTAGTTTACTACTGTATAATTTTGTACAGCTACATGTAATTATTAATAATCTGGCTGATAGTATTCTGGTTGGCAAATATTGCCACTCCTAGCCATAAATTCCTTTAAATAACTGTGTTTTTCTACTCTTTAGGGCCAGTTTTACATCCACCCCTGCAAGTAGCCCATTTAATTTTACTTGGCTCAAACCACCCACCCACCCGCCCCTGCTCCCTCCCACCCTGGTTCCTTGTACCTATATAGCATGCTCTTCCAGCTGTTTAGAACCAGAGCCAATCACCTCCTACCTTCACATGCTATCAGCTGCTGCAGTTATACCATTAACTCTCTCTGCCATCACATACAAATTCCTCTGCTACCTTTTGTCTCACCTCCACAGTTTACCTTTAGATTGTAAGCTCACGGACAGGGCCCTTTACCTGGTGTATCGGTCTGTTCTTACTGTGTTTGTCTTTTTCCCAATTGTACAACGCTGCGGAATATGTTTGGCGCTTTATAAATACCAGTAATAAATGAATAAATAAATAGAAAAAGAATGTACTTGAACTTAGCAACTCATGGCAAAACAATGTTTAGTATGTAATTGTACATACAGCATAACTGGAAGCTGGAAGCATTGAGCCCCCGGACATGGTCTGATATGAAGGGTTCTTCTGTTACCTCAATAACAGCTGTAACTAGGGTAAGTAAAGTATACATTTTCCCCATCAGACCATGTTTTGCTTATCTGCATATGTAAATGTGACTCAATTTATTATCAATCAGCTGAGGAAATTAAAAAAGGACCTGTATATAGATAATACATGCCTTCCGTTCATTATTTATATGCTCCTGTTTGTATTAGGTACCATCTTTCATATAATCCAGGGAATCCAGATCGCTGCATTTCTTACCTTATTGTTCATCTCTTAGCAACTTTATATCTCTTTACCTCCCACTGAGGGAATGTATACCTGAATGGTTATTCATTAATCTGTTAATGGCAGTAAACTTAATTCTGAATGGCAAAAGTGAGCCTGAAATAGCAGGCTGGGAAATTTCTCCAGCTGAGCTGTAGCCACCAACTTGCCCACTTTAGCCTAAATTTACTGATCTGTATGGCAATTTAGTGAATAACCTTGTTACGTCTGTGATTCTTTCAGGGCTGTAAGCTTAGTGGTTTTGTCCTGAAGTTTCATAGTAGAAAAATAGAAAAGAAAAGACATGTCTGTGCCTATGTTTAAGCTGCAATAAACGCCTATGTGTTTGTATAGATTAGAGTGAGTGTTAAGAAAGGTGTGAAGGCTTTGGAATGAAGAGTAATTTAAATCTGGCACATGTTAATTAGCAGGACTCAGTGATAGCAATAGAAATGAACACGTGAAAATCACCACCACCTGTTTAACTCCACACAGTTAAAATACTTGGGCTTTTTTCTATTTTTGTTTAGTGAAAGTCTGAAGAGCAGACATGTCTTTTAAATATTATCTGAAACTTTATGTTCATAATTGTTTATCTCAATTCTGTAAATTATAACAAAGCAGTTATTAATTACAATGTAAGTAATCAGAAATACACTTACATACCCTGCACAACCAAGGGTTAAGCGGCAGCATCGCCCTATGATGCACACATCCATGCACACTCAATGCAATTATAATTTTTTTTTAATATATATATATATTCTTTATATATCTCGACATATTGGTATTTTGCTTAATGAGGCGAATAACAGGCTTATAAACAAGGAAATGCTTAGACTAGACAGCAGGTCCTAGCTTAAGCAGACCAGGTGCAGGTAGTTACGCATTTATCTAAACATGCTTAGTACTCATGAGTGATAGGAGTTAGAGTCCCAATTGAGTGTGGTCACCCCAGCCTCGTTGTTCAAAGTCAGCCATATGCCAGGCAGCTCCTGTCTGAGCGGGTAGAGGTGGTATATAGTATGGGGGCTGGGTGAGGAGTAGTGGATGCCCTCTGGGTTGTATTAAGTCCCAGGGCCCGGTCATGCCAGGTAGGTTGTTGCCGGTTCTGGAGGTTGGGTGGAGGCTAGGAAGAGGTCGGGTCAGGGTGTCTCCGGGTCACTTGGCAGCTTTGTTTGGTACCTGATTAGGGTTTCCCACCACTGCTGGACTTGGGGTTTTCTTCCCTACGCCGTCTCCCTTAGGGTTGTGGCTGTGGGGTGTTGCCTCTGACCTTCTAAACTACCGCTGTTGTGCAGGCTCCGTCTCGGACCCCTAGCAGCCTGCCGCTGCGGAGTTTGAGGCCGCGTTGAATACAGGGGTCTTCCCAGTGCTGCCCGCCACCATCTTATGTGAGCGGGGTGCTGCTGTTTCCACCCAGCCGCGCCCACCCCGCAGGGCTCGCGTGTAGTTGTTCGGGCTCGTGGGGGTGCCATGCTGGACCGTTATAACCCTCATCGGTCCGGGGGGGGAAGAGGTTCTGCGTCTGCAGGAATTCGGGGCTGGAGGACCGGATGCTTCCCCAGCCCTGCATCAACTGCTAGGCCGCAAGTCGGACCAGCCTTTGTGTGCGCCTCCGGGGAGCCTGTAGAGCCTCCGTCCCGGTCCCACCGATGGCTCTGTGGTTTGGGTGAGTGTGGGGCCCATTTGACTTGTCTGGGTCGGGCTAAAGGAGGCTTAAAGTCATCCGTTTGGTGGGAGCTCTGGGTGCCTACAACTACTCCACATGGCAGTCAAGCTCCGCCCCCTATGAAATTAATTGAATAACTTACTTTGCATCAAATGCCAGAGTATGCCATAAGTTATCAGAATGTGCCCTTAACTCAGACTTGACAATTCATCTTTAACTAATGGCATAATGTTGGTAGAAGTTTGCTCTTTTGAGTTAAAATCTCACATAGGTATCTCCCATATTGGCTTTGTAAGAAAGGAAGTGAAGGATTGGTGCTTGTTTCTGCAAAATCCTTTTGTCGTGGGAAAAAAAGTCACCCTGCCATCAAGTCTTCTTTTTTTCCTGTACTTCTTATGTGCTAGCTCTAAGTGTATCGTAATTTGTCTGTGGCATTAATATTGTAGATTAAAATTAAAAAATAAATCATAAAATTGTACTGTTTATCTACAGAATCATGCAATCCAACATATGATAGGATTTTCTTGTACCATAAGCCTGCACTTTTGTATCCTGTTGTAAAACCTTCAGGCATTATATGATCCTTTTATATTATACATTGTCTAAAATAAATGCACATCAAACTCTTGTTTATATTAGATATTTATCTTGGTAATGAGATTCTGTGCTTCTAAATGTTCAATTTTTGTTAAGGCAATCTTAGTTTGGGATCCATGCTGCATCTTCTATCTTTACTCCTTCAGTGTCGTGGATGTCTTTGATTTAAGCAATTTTGTTTATTCACAGCTTGATTGCCCATAACACCATTGATGCATAATGTTTGTGTGTGTCTCTGTGTGTGTGTGTGTATTTATGTATTATAAATCATGCAAATAGAATACAAGCGGAAATTAGACATATATTCTCCTTTAAATTTCTTAGGTTTTCTACAAAGCCCCAGATTTTGCAGCCTCTGCATTATGCTCTCCCCAAACTAGGAAGTGACTGAAACCCAGCCATTCCTAGCCCTTTAATTCTTTTCAAATTGAGCTCTCAGACTATTCCATAAATCATAGTATTTATTAAACATCTTTAAAGCAAGCAACTTGTGTAGATTTTTCAATTTAAGCAAGTTGGATGCATTTGAGGTGTGGTAAATATCATTCTCATTTGCAAGGCGTTCTAATTTTTTTTATTACATACAAAAAAAAATGGAATTAAATGAAATTCCACATTTGTTCTAATTTTCTAATATGTTTCAAATGCCTTTAGTAAATAGCTGAATAATTTAAGGTAAAGATCTCCTCCACCCTCCTCCAAAAAAAACCCCCAAAAAACCTCTGTAATGCCTTTTGATTTCAAATACATATGCTGAGAACTACTCTAAATACATATTGTAATTTTAAGATGTATTTTGCCATTTTAGCAGCCATCATCTCTGCATCCTATTGAATCACACTGTGTAGCTTGTGAGTGAAAGCTAGGATTAGAGATGTTATATTATAACAATAGAATACTATAAAAATGCACTCAATGCAAGGCATATGTTTGCTGTCTGTCTTCCTTGCTTATAATGGTGCCTGGCTTGTTTGCCCTACAGCGCCTGTTTTGTGCTCCCTCCTACTGTACCTTGCTTCATCATCCGCCGTAGGATTTTTCCATTTGATCTCCAGGGGCTGCTGTGCAGTTCTGTCAGCCTGTACAGAAAAACAATTGTCAGAAGTTTTCTGTGTCACTGTCCACAAAGCTTGGACCACAGGGACTGGTTGGAAGGGTTCTGACCAGTGGTGCTTTTAAATAGTTATAATTTTAAATAATACCCTTGCAGTGTACAAAACAAAAATAAGATCTTGTCTTTCCTCTGAGGGACCTCTTTTTTTTTTAAATCATAACACAATAAACATAATGCCATAAAGTAGATCAATCCGAGACAAAATGTAATATTTTTACTGATATAACAAATTTGCTCCCCCACCCCCACATAAAGATAAAAAAATAATGAGCAAAGGGTCTGATAAGTATTTTTCTACAAAACATAAGATGGTTTCCAGTGAGTATCCAAATACAGTGGGACCTTGGTTTACGAATTTAATGCGTTCTCCGGGACGTTTCTTATTGCGAAAAATTTGTAAACCGAAACGTGGTTTCCTATAGGTATGCATTGAAAACCAATTAATCCCTTCTGGAGGTCAGAAAAAAGTCAAAATGAGCTGGCATGTAAACCAACCCACAGTGCAGAACACACAATAAAAGGCATGCAAACAACAAAGCTCAGCTCCCTACCTTTCCACAGCTTGAGAAATGCACCAAAAAGTCCCCAAACAACTGCAAACAATTTCCAGAATGGCTCCAAAATCTTAATGCAAAAGCCGTTCCAACACCTCCACACTCAACGCCACATGCTACCCACAGGCTCCAACATGCAGGGGGCAGTGCTATAAACCTCCCAGGTGCAATGCATCCTGGGGAAACTTGCTTTGTATTGCGAATTTTTTTTTGTAAACCGTGGCATTATTTTCAATGGATTTTCATTTGTAAACCGAAAATTATGTTAACCGGCGCGTTTGTAAACCAAGGTCCCACTGTATTTAACATACAGGCCCTACATTTGTTATATAAGGTGGATGCTTCATGGACTAATGGACATTAGCTCACAGCCAGACTGGGAAAAAAATTTGGTCCGGGCATTTTTTATTCACAGCGGCCCAAAGGAAAGGGGGCGGGCCAGATAGGGTAAGTTTTGTCATCCCCAATGACAAGCACGCCCCATCTCAAAGTTAGCATTTTGGTTCAATGCTCTTCCAGGGCATGAGAAAAGGGCCCTGTATTTGTTCTGCACAGCGCAAGCAAATTTAATAACATACTTGCATTGTGTTTGCTTGAAATTTGTCTCAGGGGTTTCTATAATTGGGATATTCATTGTATCCCATTTATGGAGACACTATGTGCTTGCTTACATGAAATCTAGTGTGTGCATAGGAAGAAAAAAGAGAAGTTGGAGATTCCCGTTCTATTAATATTGTCACCAATGGAACACTTATTAAATTTAAAACGTCACTTTTAATAAATCAAGTTAAAAGTCCCTTGTAGTTAAGGGCACTACACACACTCTTATATTCAACACGTGTTTGAACACCACATCTAAATGTAAATAGATAAATCAACAATAAAAAATAATTCCACTAGAAGGTAAAATACCCACTAGTAACTGTATGGTCTACTAAAGTGAAATCCTACAAATTTAATTGTCTTAAAAAACTAAACTGTTAATAAAATAATTCTAGGGTGTGCCCAAACAATACTGTAATATCGTAATAGGTTTACCAAGAAATGATCTAAATTATTGGCACTCCAATAGTGTGTGCATAAGGTATCCAGAGTGTGTATGTCAGAAATGTAGTGTGTGTGTAGGTGGTGCAGCGTCTGTGTGTAGGGGAGCTAGTGTGTGTTTGAAGGACCCAGAGTGTGTATAGGAGATCTAGTGTGTGTGTGTGTGTGTGTGTGTATAGAGGATTCAGAGTGTATATAGAGATCTAGTGTGCATATATCTGTCGATGATCCAGAGTTGGGTAAGGAATCTAGTGTTTGTCTGGAATTTAATGTGCTTAGGGGTGCAGTATGTGTGTGAGGGGTTCTGTAGTATGTATACATATATGTTTGGAAGTATTGTGTGTGTGTGTGTGGTGCAGCATGTTTGGGGGCTGCTGTGTGTATGTGTGAGGTGTGCAGTGTGTGTGAAGGGTGTAGTGTGTATGTGTGAGGGGTGTAGTGTGCATTTGTGAGGAGTATAGTGTGTGTGTGTGAGGGTGCTGTGTGTTTGGGGAGGTGCAGTATGTGTGTGAGGGTGCTGTATGTATGTGTGAGGGTGCTGTGTGTGTGTGTGAGGGTTGGTGTGTGTGTGTGTGTGTGTGAGGGGTGCTGTGCGTGTGAGTGATGTGTGTGTTAGGATGCTGTGTGAGGGTGATGTGTGTGTGGGTTAGGGTGCTGTGTGAGGGTGATGTGTGTGTGGGTTAGGGTGCTGTGTGAGGGTGCTGTGTGTTAGGGTGATGTGTGTATAAGGGTGATGTGTGTGTGTGTGAGTGAGGGTGCTGTGTGTGTTAAGGTGCTGTGTGAGGGTGATGTGTGTGTGTGTGTTTTAGGGTGCTGTGTGAGGGTGATGTGTGTGTTAGGATGCTGTGTAAGGGTGATGTGTGTGTGTGTGTTAGGGTGCTGTGTGAGGGTGATGTGTGTGTTTGTAAGGATTGTGTGTTGGGGAGGCAGGTAAATGCCAAAATCGATGTATTATTTTTTTTTTATAATAATAAAAAAAAACACAGACATTGTACCCCCCCTCCTCCCTTTTTAACTGTAGCCTGGTGGTCCTAGTGGTAAGTGAACTCTAGCCTGTGGAGCGAGAGAAACCCGGTGGAGCTGCAAGTTAGAGCTCCTCCGAGTTCCTCTCCTGGCTGTCTCCCTCCCCCGCTGGCGGCCGTGTTTGACTGCATGTGGGCCGGTGAGGGAGTTCTTAAATCTCCCCACCGGCCTGTCATGGAACACAGTGGTGCCGGTGCTCGGATAGCGCCGGGTATGCATGGACCGGCCGGGGAGATCCCCCGATCTGTGACCATCGCAGCCCTAGGCATTTGCCCGATGGCCAGTCCAGGCCTGCATTAGCTCGACCATTAACTTACAAATATTATTAATATTTACAATCATCACATCAGAGATGGATGAGGGACATTCTGTAGTCAGACTACAGCAAGCTTAGGGCCCTCTTTTTTTTTTTTCAATAAGAGTTATCAAAATAACATTAACAAAAAATAAGGATACATAATACTAAAAAAGCATGCAATACAAGGAGAGAAATATGAAAAACACTTGGCATGTGTTTTAAGGAATCTCATAATGAGATATTTCCTGTTAGTTTGTTTTTCATTTTGAGTTGAGACCAAGGGGAGGACCTATATTATTTGAGGGCAGGTTTTCATAAACCATGCATCTGGCATCATGCAAAAAAAAAAAAAACTAGATTTTTTTTTCATTAGTGCTCTACCGTATTTTTGACCCCTTGGATTCCTGGTGTGCCTATTCAAACAACAGTAGTATATCGTAATGGTAAAATATATAATTTCTATAAAGCAACAGTTTATG